GACATGGATCGAATCCGTTTCAGTCATTCCTGTGGATGGAAAAGAGGGCCCTGCAGATGTTTGCGTGATAGAGTTGGGAGGGACTGTGGGTAAGCGATAGTCAATACATAGATGCAATACATGCTTCATTATTCTTTCTCTGTGTTTATGTACAAAGACAATAATTCTTCTTTCTTCTTAGGTGACATTGAATCAATGCCATTCATTGAGGCTCTGCGCCAATTGTCCTTTTCAGTTGGTAAGGTTGTGGTTTATTCTGTTCTTTTGAGGAATTTTTTTTATTCTGCTTATGAGATAATTTCCCCACCCATATGTTGGCTTCCAATTGTTTATCATGTTTCTATGCTGTGTGATCAATATATATCTTCCAATGACTGCTCTAGGAATACGCGGTACGTACGGTTTAGGTATTGTTTAGATTTATGGTCTGATATGTTATGAGCAGCTTTGCAATAATAAAATTGATAATATTATCGGGACTTTATGTGGTGCTTTTTTGTATTTTTGTTGGCCGGGGTATAGATGCAATGAAACAATGCTTATCCAGATTTAAAAGTAACTAACGATTTCCCTTTGGAGTTGATGTGCAATTTCATCTGGAATTACATTGATGTTAAATGATCATTGCTGGTGTTGATTTAATTCTTTTGTCAGGGCAAGAGAACTTCTGTCTTATTCATGTGAGCCTGATACCAGTGCTGGGTGTTGTTGGAGAGCAAGTAAGATCCCTCTACTTAATTATTGAGTGTTACGTTTCTTCATTAATTCCTCATACAAGCTTGTAAGTTTAGAATCAAAATGGATTATATTTTACAAAGAATTTGCTTAATTTTGTATGTTTCTTACTTTCTTTTTGTGTTTGTAATTCATGCAGAAAACAAAGCCTACGCAACATAGTGTGCGGGAACTTAGAGCATTAGGCTTGACTCCTCATCTATTAGCATGTCGCTCTGCAGAGGTACCTCATTTCACCTATCTATTAACCTTATAAGCTTTTCTTTAGTTTCCATTTAAGACTTGCTTGGACACCTACATTGGTGCAGTGAGATCACCCGACTCCCCTTGTGCTTTACGCTACCATTATTTTGCCAAGGTTAATTTTTGTGCAGATATAATACATATTATTTTTTATTTTTTATTTTTTTTTGTGTGACTGCATTGCAGCCTTTGTTGGAAAATACTAAGCAGAAACTTTCACAATTTTGTCATGTTACAGTAAGTTGTTGCTGAATAAATTCTATGTGGCCTTTTTTCTAAATTTCTTTAATCAAACTTCATTTTCTGATTACAAATTTTAAATTTCATTTACGCTTTTTTACAGGCTGGTAATATTCTTAATATCCATGATGTACCAAACATTTGGCATGTTCCTCTCTTACTTAGGGTGGGTTCAATAACAATTATCTGTCTCCTTGGTGGCTTCATACTTTATTTCAAAATTTTATCTAACTATTGTTCTAAATTGTTGTTCAGAATCAAAACGCTCATCATTCAATTCTTCAACAACTAAATTTACTAAGGTATGTTCTCACCATTACTTCACATATAAGGCTTCAACTTTTGTGCTCGATTGTTGATCAGCATCAGCTTATTTAAATTCTTCTTGTGTAATGATGCCAAGGCAATCTCTCTCTAGAATACTGTCCGACTTGGATTCTTTTAGTTGATATATGTGCTCTTTCGGAATGCTGCCTAAATATAGGAAGGCAAACAGCATGAAGTTTGGCTATGTTAAGTTACCAGTGTTTAATTTTCTGTTTCAGCATTGCCAGGCCTCCTGATTTAAGAGATTGGACCAAGATGGCAGAGACTTATGATAACCTCACCAATTCCGTCAGTATTATTAGATAATAGTGCCATGCTCAATTTTCAAACATTCTCTCTTTTGGTTTTTTCATTCACCACATGAGAATTTTATATTTGCAGGTGAGGATTGCCATGGTGGGGAAGTATGTGGGCCTTGCAGATTCTTACTTGTCCGTAGTAAAGGTGCAGTGGTAGCTTCTATTCTATTATTAGGAAGGGTCATAGGATGGTGTATCTCTACTAAGATTGTGGAATTCATTAGCAATTTTTCATGAAAAAATTTAGCTATTGCATGTTGTAGTGCAAATATGAGTGTATGGCTCCTTTTGCAATGCATGCTTAGTAGATTATATATGTTAATAATTCACTGCCTACACATGTATTTTACCATAAATGCTTGCTGATATATAATTCTGAACAATATGGCAATCTGGACCCCAAAATATAATATTTTGTTAAATTTGTCTCGCAGGCCCTTCTGCATGCTTGTGTTGCTTGTTCTTTAAAGCCATCAATTGACTGGATTGCTGCTTCTGACCTTGAAGATGATAGTGCCAAACTGGTATTGAACCATTACACTCCTCTTTTTGCAGAATTTGGTTTTAAGTCTATTATTTTGTCTTTTCTTAAGATTTGTTTTTTATACAGATACCAGAAGCACATGCTGCTGCATGGGGGACCCTAAAGGTATTCTTTAAGCTAAATTGTCGTCCCCTAGCCTGTTGTACAGTTTATGTTTTGATCTATTCTATATTTGCAGAATGCAGCATGTGTCTTGGTTCCTGGTGGATTTGGAGATCGTGGTGTGAGAGGTATGATATTAGCTGCAAAGTATGCCAGAGAGAACAATGTTCCTTATCTTGGGATTTGTTTGGGCATGCAGATTTCAGTGATTGAATTTGCGAGATCTGTAAGCAACGTTTGCTTAACTAACAGGTTTTATTCTTTATTTAAGATCATATATCATCCCTACTTTAATTACTTGTTTTAGGTTTTGGGTTTAGAAAGGGCAGACAGCACAGAGTTTGATGCACAGACACCAAATCCTGTTGTAATTTTTATGCCTGAGGTACAAATTTATGGTGATGTTTACCTCTTTAATTTTAAAATAAGTATGGCTTCAACCTTCGCCCCATGACAGTTAATTTTTTTATGTGTAAAGGGATCAAGAACACACATGGGAAGCACAATGAGACTGGGATCCAGAAGAACACTTTTCCAAGCTCCTGATTGCACTACTTCAAAGCTGTATGTGCAATATCTATAACTGTGTTCAATTTAGAAATCATAGAATAGCCGGCTAGTTACTGCAAAATGAAGTTATAACTTCAGGTACCTCTGCTGCATTTATACAGTAAAATCAATGCATGTGCCATGTGTTCCAACTTCCAAGTCTGTCACATGGCACAAGCTATAGAACTTTATTGCATTTATACTGTAAAATTTTGAACTTTCTTGGTCAACGTACTATTTTGCATGCGGCCTTTGATGACCTCTCCACTATGTGTTGTGTCTGCAGTTGCTTTTGTCAAAACTAATCCCACAAGACCACTTTAAAGTTCTCCATGTTTAAGAGTATAGGGTACATGCCTGATGTGTTATTGCTATCAATTGCTAGGTACCATAACTCAGAGTATGTGGATGAACGCCACAGGCACAGATATGAGGTTTGTTGTAAATTTATTTAGGTGAAAAACATGATGATTCAGAAGCACGTTTTACGTAGTGTACATGGTCTTATTTCATCATGATGCAGGTGAACCCAGATGTTATTGGAGTTCTTGAAGAAGCTGGCCTGAAATTTGTAGGGAAGGATGACAGTGGGAGACGAATGGAGGTGGGTTTTCTGCTGAGTTTGATGCTTTGTTGAACTTGAGCATTGTCAGAATTTACTTGGTTATTATTGCAAAAATTCCTTTCTTATCATTTACTGAATAGTATTTGACTTTGAAGATTTATTTTTTACAAGATTTGTGTTTGTTCTGGTATTTTTCTCTTCTGCAGATTTTAGAGCTTCCAAGTCATCCATTCTATGTAGGAGTGCAATTTCATCCAGAATTTAAATCACGGCCTGGGAGGCCCTCTCCTCTATTTTTAGGTACTTTGACACGCAAGTGAACCATAGATGTCATAGACTTACATTTACTGTTCTTACTTGGAAACATGTGAACACTATGGCATCCATCATGGAATTACCATGTAGCGCAGATCTATATTACTCAAAGTGGAGAGATTATTGGACATGTTTGTGTCAGAATAGACTTGTCTATTACAATTCTCATTTTTATTCGGTCGATTTCTACCCAGTCCTTGGATCTCTGTACTTGAGTTGACACATGTGACATTGCAACTGTAGGTCTTATCTTGGCAGCAACAGGACAGTTGGAAACCTATCTTGACCAGAATCAAAATTCTAGTTGACAACATTGGATCTCTCTCAATGGTTCCAGATCATTAGTTCAAGGTAGGTTTGTAATTTGAATGTGAGAGGTCCCATAGAAGAAGAATTGGACTTGCGTTGTAGCTGTTTGTGCATTGTTCCCCCTGGCTCTTCTGAATGTGGGTGAGAAAGGGGGATGGGAATGGGTTGGATCATCTCAAGACTCACGACATTCTGTGCTCCGTATGCATAAATAGGTGCATCTTAGGGGTCAGTTAAGTGATTATGTTGAACAGTGTCTGTCCGGTTTGGGATAGGGTTGGATTACAGTATGACCGAGGGAAGGGCTTTCTATTTCATCTGGTAAGAGATAGATATGTTTCTGTTCATCCATACAAAATGGTAGACAGTATTCACTTGATAGTTATGAAAATGGGCATGGATGCGTATTGATGGTTCCTAGTGTAGTAAAAAACTAATGCATTGTCCATTTTTTGTTACAATGGCAGATAAACGTATGGAAGTTTATGAAAGTAGATCCTGATTGTGGAACAAGTATGTCGATGCAGTTGGACAATTTATCAGGTAGCTGATCGATCAGTTGAAAGCAGATACAAGTTCTAGGTCATTAGAAGGATTCATTGATTAGATTGTTCAATCATGTAGGGGAATTTGAATGATATTGTTGTTTGGCGATATTAATTACTTGTTGGCATTCAAGAGTTACCATATTCGGAATGAATATACTTATGAAACTTTTTCGAATGTTGTCCTCATCATTTATTAGCACTTAAAAATGTAGACATTTTTGAAATTCAGTTGTAAGCTGCTGCTTGTATGTGTGAGATGATTGTTGTTACATACAATGTAATGGGAAGCCTAAGCCTACAGTATCTACAAAATATGCCGCAATGCTATGCCTCTTCTTTTATAAAATAAATACAATGTAGTTCAGTACAGTAAAAGTAGACTAGAGGAGCAGAATTGAACCCAAAAACAAAACCAAAATCAAAATAAAAAAAATGCCGCAATGCGATGGCTGTCCTGCGAGTTACTGTTTTGGTTGTCTGTCTGTCTTGTCCCTGGATCTGGAATTGCGGAATTCTGGAGGAATTGTCGAATGTGGATGGACAATGTGAATGATATATGTGATTAATTTAACATGTGAGGTTCTGAGTGTGGTGTCGGTATGAAATCTGTCTTTGGAGCTTCATTTGCTGGTAGAACTTAGCTATGAACTCATCTGCCTTCATGTCAACCGATTCCTCTAACTCCTCGTAAATATTGTTTTTATAAGCTGTAGCAGGAGAAAGAGTAACCCTTTCTTCCTCATCATCCTGAATAATATCTCGGCCATCATCCTTCTCATCGCATTTGATAAGAAAGCTCTGCCTTGCAGTACTAGCATCGTCTTCATCATCATCGTCATTGTAGCAGTTGCGGCAATCGTTTGATTGATATCCGTGGTTATTGATAATCATGTCGACTTGATCATCATCAAAATAATCAAGTGCTAATGGTGCGTTTAGGCAAGGGATGTTGTTGATGAAGCACATGAAGGAGGAGCGGGAGCAGCTGGTTTTGGTTTTGAGGGTGGGGAAAATTGGGGTCTTGTCGAACGACAGCTGCCGCTCGAAGTAATACTGCTGCTGCTTCTGCTGCTGCATGTGCATAAGCATGTGGACGAAGCTACTCTTGAGCAACTTGGGGACGACGCGCAGTTCCATCATGAGGCGTCGCCTGAAAACACCGCCCTTTCTTGCCCAAAGCAATGCCAGACGCAGCAGCTTCCACGCTCTATGTGTTGGTCTTGGTCGACCGACGTCATCATCATTACCATTTGATGATTTCTTCTTCGACATCTTCATCAATGTCATCGTCATCTTCAGCTCACTCTTGAGCAATTGATTAGCTGGTGGAAGCAGAGTAGAGGTGCTACTAACGTAGGTAGATTCAAAATGTGGCCTGGTAGTGGTAGTGGTAGACCAGAAAGAGAGAAAGTGACAAATTGATCACAAAAAATTGGCTAATAAATTACAGTTTGATGAGAGCGAGCTGAAAATTTTCTATGATACGGTGAGTGGTGAGTGGTGTTGTCTTGGAAGGCTACTATATATATATATATGGGAACTCACAGGAGGAGGTAGCCATTTATACAATACATGATTAGTAATATATGTTATATAAATAAATAGATATATTAGAGGAATCTTTGTATTTTACGCGGTGGTTGCTAATTATGTGTGTGATCTGCTTATAGGAGATTAGTGTGGAAGGTGGGAACTCGATTGTTGCTGGGGACACGGTTGTTATACGCGGGAGGAAGCAAGCTCGAACCTCCCCTTCCGCTTCATTCATCGGTTCCCAATTTTCAAATACAATACTACTTTAGCTCTCTTCTATGACCACGTTGTATTATAAACGTTATAACTTGAGTTGTTCATTTTTTTTAGAGATAATTTTTAGACGACGACAAAGAGAAAATAAATGATTTAGATTATGATATCTCGTAAAGTAAAATGATATAACCTCTTCATGTATAGAGAAAGTTAAGAAGATTGACTTTTAACATGTAAGAAGTCAAACTGTGTCTAAATATTTATATAACCCGTCGTTCCTTTCCCCACACTACTTTTTTTGTTTTGTTTCTTGCTATACTACTATTTTGTTATTGTTAATCCGTACGCCACCAAATACGGGAAATTAATATCTACACCATGTGCATAAACTTGTAAGAAATTATGCACCCAGTTTGACCCTTAATGCGTTATAACTTGCAAGTCAACAATATTATTAACTAATGCTTATGATAGGCAAGAAACTTCTACTTTTCAACAAAACTATTAAGTTAGATCTGAGGGACTACATATATATATATATATATATATATTTGTTCTAGCTGTTGCCATATATAACTCATATTTAAATGATGGTTTTCGACGAAATATATATGTAATTGATGATATTAAGCGACTCGCGGGGCAGCCATTTGAATTTTGAATAGGTCAATGCCAATTATTTGAGCGACAAATACATAAAGTTATAAACTATCACAATCAACGCAGCTTTTGATTAGTTGGATTTTGCTGGATCTTTCCTGACATGACCACCGTTTCCTTGTTTGTTTCCTTAGAAGAGGATCATCTCCAGATTTATTTTGTGGAGATCTTAGTTATTCATCGTGTATCATATGATTAGAAATTATTTAATTTTTTTATTTAAAATTAAACACAAATAATACATAATAAAAATTAATATTATTCCTGCAAGAATCAACCAAGAGAACCCAGTGGCCTCCCAATGAAGCTGACTCTGTCATCTGTGGTTGCCCATGGGCCCTATCGCTTATATTCTCCCAAACCGTGTTCTAAGTTCTAACAAATGTATATATACATAAAATTTCATTTCAGATTTATATTGTAGATTTTAATTAATTGTAATGTGAATCTAGCTTCATACATAAAGAATCTTAGTTATAAGATTAGTGACCAGTTTGGGATTGTTGTACTTTTTTTAAATGGTAAATTACATTTTACCTCATCAGGTTTGAGGTTGATTTCAATTCCTTACAACATCTTTAAAACATTTCACTTTCATACCTTACGTACTATTTTATTTCAATATAATACATCGGTACATTTTTCATCCATTAGTTCGTTAAGTGCTGACGTGACTGTCACATTTGTGCCACATGACAAAAAAATAATTTTTTATACATTAAAAATATTATAATATTAATCCTATTAAAAAAAAAAAAACCCTAACCCATATCCCCTTCCTTCCCCCTCACCTCTTTGCAACTCCCATTTACAAAATCCACCGCTTAGCCCGCGGTTCATCCCCATTGAAGCACTTCCATACCTAATTCTACCCACCAACCAACCCATTTACAAAATCCCCACTCTAAAACCCTAATAACCTAACCCCCAAACCCGTAGAGAGTTCTGCCTAGGTTGTCGAAAAAGTCAGAGTTGACGAAGAGGCTCCAGAGGCGGGCAGTGGTGGCGGTGGAGCTAGAGTAAGCGGTGGGGTTGGGGGTGGAGGAGAAGGGGTTGGGTGGTTGGCCCCCCGAGGAGTCGTTGGACTTGAGAAACATGGCGATGTTGTCACTGTCGCTGCCACGTGGCAGGAGGTTGGAGGAGGCTAGGCAGGAGAGGTCGAAGAGGAGGAGGTCGTCGAAGGTACTAATTTGTTTGAAGGTAGGGGGTTTGAAGGAAGCAAAATGATGTGTTCTATTGAGAAAATTTGTCAAGTGTTGTCGAGGCAATCTAAAAAGATTTTTTTTGTCAAGACCTGGAAAGATATTTTGTCAAATACTATGTGAAGCTTTCCAAAATGTCAAAAATGCCCCTTGGTTTTTTCACAATCAAATCCCAAAAAATTCAAAAAAGGAGGACAAACCGGTAAAAAAATCTTAACAAAAAACTGTGCTGGAAAACAAAATAAATAAAAAAAGAAAAAGAAAAAAAAGGAGACAGTGATGAAGTTATGCAGACTTGCAGTTACAAAACTCAAAGAAAATTAAAAAAGAATAATGTGGGAGAAGGGTCACCACGTTCCGTTCAGTTTTGCAACTGCTATCAACAGTTTCCATTCGGTTTTCAGACTCCCACATTCCAACCTTTTATCATCACTTTCTCCGCTGCATGAGTTCATTTCGATTTGTGAATACAGAAAAGAAAAACCAACAATTTTAAGCGGTTAATTGCAGTTTAATTTGCATTCATATTTATGTTTTCCTTTTAGTTTGTGTTTGATTTTCTTTGACATGAAAGAAGAAGAAATCATGTAACAAAGGGGATTCTTATATGTTGAACTTGGAACGAGTATGAAGAAATTAACGATACTTCTTTATCTTTTGAGTTGGACATGTATGTTTAATTTTTTTTTTTTTTTTTTTTATTATTTCGATTCTTGGAGGATGAAGGGCAATAAAGCAGAAGAGTTGAATCAGACTATCAAATTGTTTAAAGCTACAAGTGTGGTAAAGTCAAGGTTTCTCAACTGGAATTCGACAAAAGCTTTGCCGTGGAGAAGTAATATGGACTTTTATGCTTTATTATTTGGTAGGCTTCAGATTGTTGTCCTGCATAATATCAGTTTACTATCTACAATTAGATTTATCGAGTCTGTGGTTCATCTTCTAATGATCTTTATATCAGTAAACACTGTGCCTTCAAACATCCGTACTTTTGATACGTTAGCTTTTTTTTTAAATAATTTTGCACTTTTGTCAAACATTGTATTTGTAGAAAATACTACTAGAAAGTATTGAAATTCACGGCAAAGCCCAGACTTGCAGTAATATGACATATTAGCATATAGCTGCTCAATTTGTATCTCACTTCGTCATCGTTCTCTCTACACATCTTTCACAAACCACCATTTCAGAATAAATAGAACTTCAATCTCCTCAATCTGGAGTTTTAAATAATCTTTGGAGTTTTCCTGTTGCTTTGGGTTGTTTATCGATATTATTAATCCAGAAGGGCATTTTTTTCGATCAATTAAAGAATCCCCGTCTCCTCAATCTGGTAATTTTTCTCTTTATGCTAGCCGATGATATTTAGCCTAGTTTGGTAATGAGGTGGTTCTAAAGAAAGTGGCTATTTGGGAGCTTTTTTATGTTGGGTAGACATTCAGTTTCAGTTTTTTTCACAATTTTGAGTGAAAAAAAGCCAAAAACACAAACCGAAGACCCAGCTTTGAAAAACCAGTTTTTTTTTCACATCTGTTTTACATAGCACTATAATACTGTTTTTTTTTTGTCCAAAGCACTTTTACAAAAAAGTTTACCAAACACTCTGCTGCTTTATTTTACAGCACATCAGAAACAGTTTTTTTTCAGAGCACATCGATACCAAACCAACTCTTAATCTGTGTGTTAGGAAAAATAGAGCTGAAATTATGGTTGTTGTGCTCCCTTTATATATATATAATGATGGAAGTCTTCTTAGTCGGAAAGCAATATACATTACCAATAGCAAAGATATTTGACCAAATATGTTTGTAACTTTCAAATATTTTTTTATTCATTTCATTCTTCACCTATAAGTAAAGATGACTGGTTGATATTACAATTGCAGTGTACTCTTCAAGAAAATTGACCAACTTGACGACTAATGCGGAAAATGGCTCGAAAGTGGCTAACTTGAGACCAAGACGGCTACTTTCGAGCCCTTTTTTGGCCAAACCACAGTGATTTAGTCATCGAGAAAGGTACCATTCTCTTCGTCTCATTGAGAAGTATGATTTTTGTTTTTGAATCACTCGATTTTGTTTAGTGTTGAAGAAGTTATGAACGTTTAAAATTTACCCAGTTTCCGATGAGTTTTCCATTTTTCTCGTGGACCAGTCATCTTTCAGGCTATTTTCCGGCTATCTACGGCAACCATTGGGCTTCTAAATGGTATAATCTTGTTCTATGCTTTCCTATCTTCATTTTGATATATTATGGGTCGAATTTGGTTAAGAAACGATTGAGTTACGAATCTTTGAAAATTACCCAAACTTTCAGCCAAGAGCTCCTGGACATTTAACGGAGTTTTTAACGGAATGACCAAAATAATGGATGGTGGACAATCTCAAGGACCATTTCCACTGATTTTCAATCTCAAGGACCAAAGTGACGTGTTATGCAAATCTTAAGGACCATTTTGACTAAAAAACCTTATTTGTTTGAGTATGTATCTTTGATGTAATTACAAATTTGTTGTTAATCTACTTTATATCTTTGGTGTAAATATTTTTTATCTCTTTGATGTTTGTTCTTTTTTAATCTCATTTTCTTTTCTCCCACTTCATATTTTTAACTATGATCATAGTGCAAATGAATTCAAAAAACTCAGGATAAACTTTTTCTCTTCAAGTTACTATTACTTCTTTGCCCTACAAGTCCTAGCTTTGGTTCTTCAAGTTACTATTACTTCTTTGCCCTACAAGTCCTAGCTTTGGTAATAATATGGAGAACAACGTCTGATTTAATTTTTTATTTTTTTTGTCGAAGGGTCTGCTTTACTCTTCTCATTTTGATAATTCCCTTGCCCTTGGTTTGATAGCATTTGGGTTTTAAGCGTTGATATAAAGAATCTCATTCTAATTTTTAACTTTTAGGGTAAATTATATTTTACCCCTTCATG